TTCTACCATCAAGTGGTCCGCACTAGTAAAAAAATAGCGACAAGTGACAAAAAATAAGATCGTTTTTTAAACAACTGTTTTATTCGGGTGTCCAAATTTATGAGACAAATCATCAGAGTTGTCTGTCGATTTTATGTGACTGTGCAAAATTTCGTTTTGTTGCAATTATTAGATTTTGTGTAAGTGAGCAATTCATCGGTCTCAAATGAAATTAAACGCACTATTGCATAATATATACTATACAGCTGGAAACTCCGACTTACAGATTATTTATATCTCCCGAAAAATGCTTTGAGGTTCGAAATTATTACAAACTATTCACCCGGAACAGATCAAGCACAGTCCCTGCAAACATCAAGACTGGCAATTCAACATCATGGCTCCGTCTTAATGCAACCATGTAAGTATATGAAACCTGACTTCGCCTTTGAAAAAGCCTCTTACTGAATATACTAGTTCCATGTGATTCATAGGCTAAGATGTATAATCCTGGATTTCCTGTTGATAGAAATAGGAAGATATAATGGGTGGTTCTTTCACAGATGGGCCCAAAATGAATGGTCAGTTGGTGATGGTGTTAAAACTGAATAGTTTGTTTTGTGAAAAGTATTCCCATTTAAACATTATTTGTTTGATAGTGAGAATGAATAGATTGTTTTATGCTCCACGGCTAATTCATACTGTATTGAAAATAAATATAGATTCAGCTGGTTAAGAATTGATTCAACTCCCTAATTCATACAAATTAAATAGATTCCACCTCCAACTATACTAATGAATAGGTTCACAAGCCCTTCATCTTGGTGTTAATTTCTTTATGCATTGCATGGTCTTGATATATTTTATAGTTCCATGAATATTATCTAATGTTAATTATTGAGTGTACGCCCTCGCCCCCGGGGGTTGATGTGAGTAAATAAAGAGATCTGAATCTACTTATTCTGTAACGTTTTTCACCTTGACATGTTACAACTTCCCCTCGCGGTCCAATATACATTTAACACGAAATGCTTCTAATTTGATCATATACTCTTTTACCTGTATATCTATCCGCATTTGGACATTTCGTTTTTTCACTTGACATGTTACAACTTCCCCTCACGGTCCAATATACCTTTAACACGAACTGCTTCTAATTTGGTCACATACTCTTTTACCTGTATATCTATCTGCATTTGGACATTTCGTTTCTTATTTATTATATACCGTAATGAGAAAGTCTGTGCGGAAGTATTTGCAAAGGAAAAAGAAACGGACCAAGACGGATGGCCTAAATGAGGTGATATAATTAGAAACACTTTTATACTGAATGTTTACACCGTTGAGACCAGCCACGTCAGAGATTGATCTATAGCCAAGGCATTCACCCAATATCTGATGACGTAGAATGCGCCCCGTAACTTAGACACAACGTGGATGTGTAGAAAGACATATAGAAATAAATAACATCCCCTGTATGTTGAACGAGATCCACAATAATCCACCTCGCGTGTAAGAAGTAGATAAGTGTCTCACCGAGCTGAAATACTATCAATTATGATAAAACACCTTCCTTATTCGCCCTCAAGCGATTTACACGAGGACAGATTCCCGTCCTGTTAGTGTTACCGAAACCTGTATTTCTAAGATATGGGCTCGCGTGATAAGATACATCTAAAGAACCCGAGACATAAAAAGCAATCGTGCCTTAATTGGCTACAACTGTATTCCGTCTATATTAAGTTAGGCTCTAATCGTATAATTATAGCTTTTCTATCGAAGGTATCGCTGTCGAGTACTGTCATGAGTGGCCCCAATCTCCCAAGTGACGATCAGCCCATTCCACCCGTGAGTAATAAGCAATTAAACCGCCCAACCCCTGGCTTTGCTAGGGTAGGGCAATCAATTAACGGCTTTCGGCGTCTTGACGTGAACCCCCTAAGGTATCACGTTTCGTATAGGGTCTTCACAGAGCTTTCAAAACTCCTTCGCTAGCTCATTACGAGACATACAGAACACCAGCTAATTTCAACAGGCGCTCAGCTATAACAGGGTCTGGTAACAGGAATACGAATTGTCCCCTTGGGAGATTATATCTTGGTCTTGTGGGCGTATGGGCATCGCGATTTGCCCATCAATATTTTGGAAGACAACGAATGCGACCTGTTGGACATCTCTTGACATTCGGCTACGGTGTCAGGAGGTCCCAAAGTACAAAAGGAAGGGTTTCGGAACAAACCTTGCACTTCCCATGTCCTGTTTGAGCAAAGAGTTGCATCCCATTTTGTTTGCTCTCTTATTTGGAAAGCGATTTTGTATCCAATGGCGTGATAACAGAGACAGCCTAAGAGAGACCATTAACAGGCTAAACATTTGCATTCACAATGTCATTATGTTATCAGTTTTCAAAAGAAAGTGATTGTGTATTTATAGACGATTAAATGCTATATCAGACTGGCCAGTAATGGACTTGTCCAGTAATGTTTGACATGACATTGTCCTTTTAAGAGCGTCCAGTTTCCCTGTGACAAGCCTTAACACCACCTGTGGTCAAAATCGACTGACACAGATTTTACGATAATGTTGTTTTCGAAGTAAATACATACAATTAGCAGCGGTCATTGGATTTCCGATTACTCTGATGTTCATGGGATTTCAACATAGGTATTTTGATCTGAGGTCGAACGTATAGAGAAGTTGCTCTGTTCGGAAGATGAGAAGAAAGTTGTGGTAGTGTGTCGGTATCTGTGTGGTAGAGTGTCGGTATCTGTGTGGTAGTGCGTCGGTATCTTTTTTGTAGTGTGTTGGTATCTTTTTGTAGTGTGTTGGTATCTGTGTGGTACTGTGCGGAATCTGTGTGGTAGTGTGTCGCTGTCTATGTCGTAGTGTGTCAATGTCTGTTCTGTAGTGTGTCAGTATCTGTGCTGTAGTGTGTTGATGTCTGTGTGGTAGTGTGTCCATGTCTGTGTGATAGTGTGTCAGTATCTGTGTTGTAGTGTGTCGATGTCTGTGTTGTAATGTGTCGGTATCTGTGTTGTAATGTGTCGATGTCTCTGTTGTAGTGTGTCGATGTCTGTGTTGTAGTGTGTCAATGTCTGTGTTGTAGTGTGTCGATGTTTGTGTTGTAGTGTGTCTGAATCTGTGTTGTAGTGTGTCGATGTCTGTGTTGTAGTGTGCCTGTATCTGTGTTGTAGTGTGTTGATGTCTGTGTGGTAGTGTGTCGATGTTTGTGTTGTAGTGTGTCTGAATCTGTGTGGTAGTGTGTCGATGTCTATTAGGTAGTGTGTCAATGTCTGTGTGGTAGTGTGTTGATGTCTGTTTTGTAGTGTGTCGATGTTTGTGTTGTAGTGTGTCTGAATCTGTGTGGTAGTGTGTCGATGTCTATTAGATAGTGTGTCAATGTCTGTGTGGTAGTGTGTCGGTATCTGTGTGGCAGTGTGTCAATGTCTGTATGGTAGTGTGTCGATGTCTGTGTGGTAGTGTGTGGAATCTGTGTTGTAGTGTGTCGATGTCTGTGTTGTAGTGTGTCTGTATCTGTGTTGTAGTGTGTTGATGTCTGTGTGGTAGTGTGTCGATGTTTGTGTTGTAGTGTGACTGAATCTGTGTGGTAGTGTGTCGATGTCTATTAGGTAGTGTGTCAATGTCTGTGTGGTAGTGTGTTGATGTCTGTTTTGTAGTGTGTCGATGTTTGTGTTGTTGTGTGTCTGAATCTGTGTTGTAGTGTGTCGATGTCTATTAGGTAGTGTGTCAATGTCTGTGTGGTAGTGTGTCGGTATCTGTGTGGCAGTGTGTCAATGTCTGTATGGTAGTGTGTGGAATCTGTGTGGTAGTGTGTCGATGTCTATGTGGTAGTGTGTCGATGTCTGTGAGGTGGGTGTCTACATTTGTGTGGTAGTGTCGATGTATCTTTGATAAGAATGTCGACATTTCTGTGATAAGAATGTCGACATTTCTCTGGTAGTGTGGCCGTATCTGTGTGTTAGAGAGTCCATGTTTGTGTGGTTGTGTGTAGACATCTGTGAGTTGGATGGTCGATATTTGTGTGGTAGTGTGTCGACGTGTGTGGTGGACAGCCGTCGATATTCGTGTAACAGTGTGTCGATATTTGTGTGAGTGTGTCGATAATTGTGTGGTAGTATGTCGATATTTGTGTGGCAGTGTGTAGACATCTGTGTGTTGGAGGGTCGATATTTGTGTGGTAGTGTGTCGACATCTGTGTGTTGGATGGTCGATATTTGTGTGGTAGTGTGTCGACATCTGTGTGTTGGGCGGTCGATGTTTGTGTGGTAGTGTGTCGATATTTGTATGTTGGACGGTCGATATTTGTGTGGTAGTGTGTCGATATTTTTTTGGTATTGTGTCGATATTTGCGTGGAAGTGTGTCTATGTTAGTGTGGTAGTGTGTCGACATCTGTGTGTCGGAAGGTAGATATTTGTGTTGTAATGTGTCGACATCTGTGTGTTGGACGGTCTATATTTGTGTGGTAGTGTGTCGATATCTGTTTGGTAGTGTGTCTATGTTAGTGTGGTAGTGTGTCGACATTTGTGTGTTGTACGGTCGTCGATATTTGTGTGGTAGTGTGTCGACATTTGTGTGTTAGTATGTCTATATTTGCGTGGTAATGTGCCGATACTTGTGTGGTTTTATGTTGACATTTGTGTGGTAGTGTGTCAATATTTGTGTGTTAGAGAGTCGATATCTTCGATAGCAGAAAAATGGGTACCCGGTGGGATAAGTCATTTGACTATTAACCTTCTAGCGCCTCACAGGCAGCTTGGATTATCCGGGATAATAATAATCAGATTATAGCGCTTTGAGCATGTCCCTCCATGGTGCAGAGTGTGTCAACAATTCTCAGGCAGTGTGACGACACAAGCTGCACATCACGGTCGCCCATCCAAGGACTCTCCGCGCCCTCTCCTTAACTTTAACTGATTTGTGACCTGGGATCTATGCACCAGACCACACACTACCGCAAATATGGCCTCTTTGTATTTGAGTGTAGGTTAATGAGACTCACCTAGGTGGAGACGCCAATGCGGCATATAAAGTTCTGTACAGATTCCGTGATGACAATCCTGTAAAGTAAATAGGAAATGATTCAGTGCTGGGCATATCGCTATGACATATCAATGTATCGCCCTTGCGTGGTCCTACTGACCCTCGAGTAATCTCTTGCCCTTAACAAGTTGAGTGTTAATATGTTAACATAATACTCCAATAATAATTGTTTACTTACAAATACCATCCAAATACATATTTAAACAATAAATTCATGGTCAAAGCTATAAATCGAGTTTCCAACTTACGTAGGTCGATGTTCATGGTACAGCTATACAGCACGAATATCGCTGAGTGCCACGTTAAACAACAGACAGCTAATGCTATCGATCCCTGGATTGTCTGGTCTGATCAATAGTTACAGACCGCCGTAATATAGCTGGAATATTGCTGAGTGCAGCATTAAATTACTAACAACCAAACCATACAGCAATAGGAACCTATGAAATTATTCCACATAAACCGTCTGAGATGTGCACGATCGAACGTGTTGCTCTAAGTTAGTTGCACACTCAACTTTAACTGAGTACATATCAAGTACTTTGATACTATCATAGTACTATCATGCTTAGCGGATGTTAATCAACCACTTCGTGTTGTACGACTGGTGTTTGTCACAGCTCAATTCATATAAATAATAATAATAAATAATCTAGTTTTGCCTTTCATATCTCATTGTAAATTAAATAATATTTCAAGAGCCTGTCGACCTTGGGAGGTTCCAGACATCAAGGTTCGACTGTGTAAGACAAGAGCGTATTTAATGAAAATTAGAACACCAGGTGTTCAATTATCGAGTGTCTCCTACCTCCAAGCTGTCGGCAAGGTCATTACCGTTCCAGTAAGCCATAAAAAATCGTTATATTTACCATTTAAACATTCTTGACTAATCTGGCCGTTCTGTTCCACGCAGAGCGCAGACAGGATTAAGTTGGTTCGATCGTTTTCTGTTCCCATTTCCTGACTGACTGTCACTGAAAAAGACAGCAGTACATTCAAATATTGTCGATTTTATTAAATCAGGTTGCTCCTCGTTTCCGGGTAGAAACCATCCAGCAAGAACGTTGCCCTGGAAAAGGAGCTACAACAAAATCCCTCTTTTGTAGTGGGGGTGGTGGGGTAGCCTGATGGTTAAAGCGTCCGCTCGTCAGGCTGAAGACCCTGGTTCGATTCCCCACAAGGGCACCATGTGTGAAGCCCATTTCTGACGTCCCCCGCCGTGATATTGCCGGAATATTGCTAAAGACGGCGTAAAATCACACTCACTCACTCTTTTGTAGTGTTTTATTGTCACGGTTTGAAAATGTGAAAATATGATTCGATAGATCATGTAAGATGCATTATATGCCCACGCAGGGATTGGATATAATGTTGGAAAATACGCACTTAAAAATGAATTTAAACAAAAGATTACACATTTTTGATAAAGGTACTATGGTGAAAACTGTCACCGAAATGCCTGAAAGTTTAGGTCCAGAACTCAACAATGATGCCAATATCAAATACAGCACCAATGGATAACCACTCATGTTTTGTTTCATGTCAAGCAACCATCGAACAATCTCTGGCTCAACTCAATACCTGAATACAGTCGCTCCTCTTGTATCGAACTACGGGTTACTCGATACACGTGAAGAATTGGTCTTCAGCAACCCATGCTTCTCGTAAGAGGCGGCTAACGGGTGTTCAAGATCGCTGATTTGGTTGACACATGTCATCGTTTCCCAGTTGTGTAGACCGATTGTCATGCTGTTGATCACTGGATTGTCTGGTCCAGACTCGATTATTTACAGACCGCCATAAAGCTTGAATATTGCTGAGGGCGCGTAAAACTACACTCACTCACTCACTCACTCGCGTTGAACAACAAACACTCACTCACTCACTCACTCGCGTTGAACAACAAACAAGCAAACACGAGTGACTTGACCCAGACAGCTATGTTTCGCCGAACGTTAGGAGACAAAGCTATTGTTTTCGAAACCATATTCAACATTGCAAACCATTATGTCAAAAAGAGCTATGATTTCCGGGCAATGACTACACGGTAAGTACTGGTTAACTCGAAACGCCTGAAAACTGGCTAAACTGAAGAACGAAAAGGATTCATCACTTCACAACTGAAAAAAATCGATTTGTAAATGCTGAGGCAAGTTTCGTAGGATTATGACTGCAGAATCTAAAACGCTAGAACTCATGTATGCCTGTATGTGCACTTCATAGTGATTTCATATTGTTAATTGCATCTTTGCTTCATTTACTTATGAACACATGCTTTATTGATCTGTGAGCACATACGTTGTCAATTATTTTAGCTTACTTGTAACCAAAACGATCTTGGAATTGTTGTGTCGTTGGGGCGGTGTTTATATGAGCATAAAATACTTGTTTACCTACCAGGTTTCAGAAAATAAATATGTTTAGATAAAATGGTTACAGTAATTTGATCAAACCAGTTGTTTATGCAATATAGATAATCTATATTTCTTGAGGTGCATAATCATTAAATATGTTACAAAAGCCAATAGACATAGAAATATTTGTGTTGGTCATACCAGGTCCTTTATTTACAAGAGGCCGTTCAGCGACTCTTCAGTTGTGAAGATAATGAGTGAATATTGTTGTATGCCGCTTGTTACACTATTCCCGAGTATGACATCGGAGACAACCACAAACGTGTTTTTTGAGCTCCCTCAGTAAAGTTTAGGTGATAAAGCTAGCAATGACGTACAGCAGAAAACCAGTTGAAATTATTAGGTTCCGTGCGGTACATTAGGGTTCAAATATCAGCGCCATGTCATGGCGGGAGATTAATCACATTATCCAGCATCACAACGAAAAAACAGGTACTGTTTACAACAGGAAAAAGTACCTTATTCTCTCCTTAATGTCATTCAATTACCAGCTTCAGCAGCAAATCAATGGGGCAATATCGCCATAAAGAGCTCTGGACAGTGATATTACAGTCGTGATGAACACAAAGCCCAGCACCAACGTGTCACCTTGTTACAAGTCCTTGTTGCAGAAGCGGGCAATGCCCCTATGCGATCCAGTGCAAAGCAAGTGTTAACTCAATTAAGCCGGCCGCTTGAGTGCCGGGAGGCATGTTTTAGTGGCACATGCATTCAGTGGGGGTGGTATTAATTCTGCAAGGAACTGACATAACTATTCGGGTTATTTCTGTTTAGATGAAAAAATGTTTAAACCATGAAGTGGTTTACAGCAATGGTTTTACTCATTATGGTTTACTCAACATGCTGATAAGTATCTTTTCAATTGAACTTCTATGCCGATTTAATTTAGATTATTTTCTTCCAGAAGCATCTCTCTCTCTCTCTGTCTGTCTGTCTGTCAGCGCTCTATCTTGTGCTTGTTGAGATTCGTTTGTTGTATATTATTCGTCCTTCGCTTATTTTGTTCGTTTATTTTGGTTATTTTTTTCTGAATCACCAGTTTAAGTTTGGCCGAAATCGTGAATATAGTGTGTTGCAACTTAAGTCGGTAATGTGATATGTGTTTAATGAGATAACGGTAACTCGAATGTAAAGTATTACGACATTAGTGTCTGCAATACGTGTTCGATATGAAGTTATTTTGTTGTATCGAACAGATACGAAGTCCACGTGGACTAAGAAATAAGCAAAAATAACTAAAACCGCTTAATGACTGTTCAGAAAACAACTTGTGAAAAACTATCTATTGTCGATCACAAGTCCCGAGAGGAAGCGTTTGTCTGTTCAATAATGAATCCTTAATGTTTCATAAACATAACTTGTTGTTGACGTTATTTGCTATATTTAACGCACAACTAAGGTATTTAGGCGAAGGGGTAGTACACTTATTAAGTAATGAGGGGGGGACAACAAATAGAAAGTTTGAAAGAGTGGTGTTACTACCCACCCACCCACCCCCAAAAACAAAAAACCCCAAAAAAACCACCAACAACAACAAAACACACACACAAAAACACCCAAAAACAACCAAACAACAAAAGGAAAAACTGAGTATTAAGGGAAATTTGAATGGGAGGCCGAATTAAAAAGGTAAAAAATATGAAATAGGTAAAGAGTAATAGAGATTTGGAATTTAATACAGATGTAGTGTAATATGTGGTTATTGTTATTGTTTTGGGTTTTTTTGGGTTTTTACACCCACCCCATGTTTAAAAACATATTTATGATAAACATATAAAAGGTTTAAAAGTGAAGTTGATAAAAAAAGTTGATCTGTACATGTATTTTGTATTATGTGTGTTTTAGATATAACGTTTCTTCCGTTTGTTTTGTTTGTTTGTCGTTTAACGCCGCACTCAGCAATGTGCCAGCTGTATGACGGCGGTCGGTAAATAATGAAGTCTGAACCAGACAATCCAGTGATTGACATATTCAGCATCGACCTACTCAATTGGGATACGATGACATGTGTCACCCAAGTCAGCGAGCCTGACCACCCGATCCCGTTAATCGTCTCTTACGAGGCGAAGACCAAATCTTCACGGGTAAGACGGCCAGTGGTATGCTCTTTCGCCAGTCTGGCAAATTGTTTATTTAGAGATGAGGATAATGAGGTATGGTCGACTGGATTTGTTTGTCGTCGGGAAGTTAAACTCGATGACTTTGGTGACTCATGTCATCGTCTCCCAACTGCGTGGATGGATGCTGATTATGTCAAACACTGGTTTTCCAAGATCGTCACCATATAGCTGGAAAATTCCCAACATCCAACACCACACAAGCCACCATGTCTGCGGTGATTCATGTCTATCGACGGGCATGACTATACTTAAACACGACACCATCTACACTACATTATCTTCATACATTAAACATGAAAAACAAGCAGTTGTTTTGAAGCAGATGCACTGTATGGTTAGAAAAAAAGATAGGAATGTTTAAAGAAATATCTTCTTCAAGGCCAAAAGGCGTCTGGAACAAAACGTGACGATTTGAAATGACATATGTATTGAAAACAAGCTATCCTTGTTCGGTATCATTTAGCGAACGTTTCCATATTTAACGATGAGCGTAAAGGCTCTCTAAACCCAATGACTTCATCATCTATCTGTCCAATCGTGCCTTTGCGCCGAGTCTTACAGACATTTCGTACCTGTGTTTCTACCAAGATTTCGTGGGAACGTCATACGTCTTTTTAACGCCGCACTCAGCAATGTGCCAGCTGTATGACGGCGGTCGGTAAATAATGAAGTCTGAACCAGACAATCCAGTGATTGACATATTCAGCATCGACCTACTCAATTGGGATACGATGACATGTGTCACCCAAGTCAGCGAGCCTGACCACCCGATCCCGTTAATCGTCTCTTACGAGGCGAAGACCAAATCTTCACGGGTAAGACGGCCAGTGGTATGCTCTTTCGCCAGTCTGGCAAATTGTTTATTTAGAGATGAGGATTATGAGGCATGGTCGACTGGATTTGTTTGTCGTCGGGAAGTTAAACTCGATGACTTTGGTGACTCATGTCATCGTCTCCCAACTGCGTGGATGGATGCTGATTATGTCAAACACTGGTTTTCCAAATCGTCACCATATAGCTGGAAAATTCCCAACATCCAACACCACACAAGCCACCATGTCTGCGGTGATTCATGTCTATCGACGGGCATGACTATACTTAAACACGACACCATCTACACTACATTATCTTCATACATTAAACATGAAAAACAAGCAGTTGTTTTGAAGCAGATGCACTGTATGGTTAGAAAAAAAGATAGGAATGTTTAAAGAAATATCTTCTTCAAGGCCAAAAGGCGTCTGGAACAAAACGTGACGATTTGAAATGACATATGTATTGAAAACAAGCTATCCTTGTTCGGTATCATTTAGCGAACGTTTCCATATTTAACGATGAGCGTAAAGGCTCTCTAAACCCAATGACTTCATCATCTATCTGTCCAATCGTGCCTTTGCGCCGAGTCTTACAGACATTTCGTACCTGTGTTTCTACCAAGAT